TAAAAGGTAGTGCGATTGACCGTTACATTACAACGCTTCCACGGCTGAAAGGGCTAGCATGTTTGGTGTGACGGGAATTCAAACCCACGACCTTCAGATTGCGAGTCGAGCGCCCTAACCATCAAAATAAAGGATAGCATTTCGCAGATAACCATTTGTTTAGCTGTTTTTCTGTTTACAGCTGTTTCTGAGTTCTGTTACTTTGTTTTGGGTTCGGGTTTGAAATTCTCACTTTTCTTGCTAGGTGAAATAATGCCTCTTACTCCCCACCCAGTTGCACTAGCGGTAATTCTGCGGAATTATAACGCTAGATACCGGCTTTGGATTACTGTGCTGCACACAGCACAGATAGCTCATTGTGTAGTTTTGTGCTTAACGACAAACAAACAAAAGGTAAAATAACCAACAACATTTTTAATTAATCCTAAACCTAAAACTACAGTTTTTATTGTTTATCAAGACTGCTTGCCTAGCCATCCTTTTTCTCCTTATTGAAATTATTAGATGCTCCATATTTATTATATTTAATAAAATTATTAGGTGCTGTATATTTATTATATTTAATAAAATTATTAGGTGCTGTATATTTATTATATTTAATAAAATTATTAGGTGCTGTATATTTATTATATTTAATAAAATTATTAGGTGCTGTATATTTCGCGTTGCTTTGTATGTATGGTGAGAGTGTAGTAAAAGAAAGGGAACTGACACGCGACTACTGCCAGATTCGATCTTTATCGGAAGCAAAGATACGGTTAGTAACACTTTTGCAATGTGTCAGACAAGTATTCAGCCAGAGAAATAATTACACAATATTCTAGAAGTTTCTCAACTCGGTTTTCCAAGAGCATTTTTCACTTTCAAAGTAGGTTAGAAATTTGAGATTATTCTCTTCACAATGGTTTACTCCCCTCGAAATAACAATATGGTCAGACAAGTGTATTTCACTTTAAACTGAAACACCACCTGCTGTAAAAATGTGGACAAAAAATTGATGAAGACTCTTAAGTATACAGTCACGGTCTACATGTGTTGTTTATCAAACATCCTAAAAACCATTGAAACGACGATCCAAAAACAAAAAACTATAAAAACAACACGTATAACTGTTTCCAATGTTTTACTTGATAGACGTTTATCCAGGTAGGACTAGTATAATTAGGGCTTAATATTACGTGTAAAACATAGTTGGGATGGCATACCTTTTTATAAGACTGATCATTATCCTCCGCGTGGACATTGTTGGCGAGGGCGTATAAAAACTGAGAAGGAAACAGAAATAACACCTTAAACGTTTCATTTTTTGAAAGCAGTATTTAAGAAAATGGGTCAAAAATAAAAGACGACCGAAGACCCAAATGAAGTTAATAACACAGATTCTACAACTGGCGGTGATTATCAGAAGCTTTAGTTTAGTGAAATGCAGCAGACTTCCTAAAGAGGTGTGGATTTAGCGGAACAAATGAATGATAAGCGATCCACCTTATCTTCCACACCGGATGAAATGAAAAAAACAACAACAACAAAATTGCGAGATAGCTATTAACATTTTTTTCTAACAAATTTCCCAGAAATTTTGGTAGCAATAAGATGAAAGAGTTTTTCTAGGATTGACTATAAAATGTCGTAAACGAACGATAGTGTTAAGACTAATATTCTAGGTCCTCATAGCATCAACAACTCACTCTGAAGGATGAATAAACGGGTATGTAGATACGAAGATAACTTTTCTATTTGTACGCGTGCTTCATGTCTAACATTTGAGAAATAGAACCGTGAATACGAAACTAACTTTGTTATTAGTGCACGTTCTTCATGTGTAACATTTGAGAAATAGATACGCGAATACGAAACTAACTTTGTTATTAGTGCACGTTCTTCATGTGTAACATTTGAGAAATAGATACGCGAATACGAAGCTTATTTTGTTAATAGTGCACGTCCTTCATATGTAACATTTGAGAAATAGATACGCGAATACGAAACTAACTTTGTTATTAGTGCACGTTCTTCATGTGTAACATTTGAGAAATAGATACGCGAATACGAAACTTACTTTGTTATTAGTGCACATGCTTCATTTCTAACATTTAAGAAATAGGAACGTGAATACGAAACTAATTCATATCTATAACTTCAAAATTAGGCATCGAGGAGCTTTGAATAAAATTCAACACAAGCAAACAATCAACTCTTAAAAGTACTCATAACATAGTTTGAAAATAAGTAATAGAAATAAATGTAAACTCCAGTAAAGAGAGAATGTTTTTTTTTTTTACATGAATGCTGTATATTTGGTATTTTCAACATTAACGGCATATTGAGTGCACATAGGTTGAATGGCCAGGTTATGGAATTCACGGGCTCAGATATAGCTAGCCCTAATTTTGAACTACTGATTAGACGGCAGGCAACCAGTCATTAATAAATTCTGCCACTTGAACTTTGTCTGACTTTTGGGTCTTATTTTAAGTCTATTGCACTTTATATGTAATCCTTCGGACAAACTCTTTTATCAAAATAAGATTGATTGACACTTTTATAATACACTAATAGCTTAAAGTGCAAAGCGTGTTTAACAATAAGATGGCATTTACCTTACGATCCGAAGCCCGGCAGGCTAACCACTAGGACAGTTAGTGTTAGAAATATATGTATACTTCAAAGATTCTTATATGTTAAGTGTGTTTTTCTTTTTATCGGAAGCGTTACATACTGGAACTTTAGAATATTTTTTGCTATCAGCTTTTGCTTGCTCCAAAACAACTTTCTAAAAACGACAAATAGTCATTATAGTAATATTTCTGTGATCATTCAATTTTGTTATCTAATATAATGAAGACCTTAAAAATTATATCCCATTTTATATAAATGATAGTGGATTTTTTCCCATCAGAATACTACTTATGTCTGTTAAAATTAGTTGGAGTTAAGTTTTACATCTCTCCGCTAGGCGGTGTTTATTGTACTCCTACTCCTAACGACAACAGCCGTACATGCTGAAAACCAGGACATCCAAGTATCAGGGGACGACCTGGATACTTCTGCTACAGGTTATGGTTCAAGTGGTGGAGGTGGTAATGGTGGTGGTGGTTCCATCAGTATCCAGGTATTGTTTTGATATATTTTTCCCGGTTGTTCATATTTTCAACGCCAATTTACATAATGTGTAATCTACGCTTTGTCCAACGCGGGGAATCGAGCCCCGGATTTTAGCATTGTAAGTCAATAAACTTACCTTTGGCTTAAGAGAGGACTGCATTATGGGATATTAAATAAAGCATTGTATTCTCTCTTTTAAGCATACAAGTTGGTGTGAACAAGAAGTAAAGAAAATATACCTAAAAACTGTTTTAACAATTGAATATTTACTGGCATGTTTCACTGAACATCATCAGATAGAACATGCATGTGCTTGGATTAATGTATAACTACCAAATGCTTTTGTGTGTTTCTTTCAAAGCTACACAAAGGGTTTCTGCGCATAGTCGTCCATAACATAAATTTGATACACTAGAGGGTAGGATGTGTGTGTGTGTGTGTGTGTGTGTGTGTTTTATAACAAAGCCACATCAGGCTATCTGCTGTGTCCACTGAGGGGAATCGAACCCCTGATTTTAGCGTTATAAGTCCGAAGACTTGCCGCTGTCTCATCGGGGGACAGGGTAGGATGTTGGTCAATTCCTAGGTTTCTTAGTTACTCAAATTAATGTGGCTTTGACTGTCACCCTTATTGGGCGCTCACAGCGCCAACATGCTTAGTGTGTTTTTGGGGCGATGAAACGTGAACCATGAGTATTTGGATTCACTGTCCGAGCACGCCCATTACAGCATATTCAGATGCTGTATGCTGTAACAGAATTTAAATAGCTTAAATATTTTTATAGATAAAACAGGAAATCTATTCTTACTGTATAGCTATAACAATTGAACACCTTGTCTAATATCCGAATTTGAATTTTTTGTTTGTTTGGTGTTAACATACAGAATGAGCGATCTGTGCTGTGCCCACCACATGTGTCGAAACCCGGTTTTTAGCGTTATAAGCTTTCAGGTTTACCGCTGAGTCCCTTGGTGGGCCAGCGATAAGCTTACGGACTTACAAAACTACAATCCGTGGTTCGATTATCTGCAATGGCCACAACAAATAGCCCAATGTGGCTTGGCTCTAAAACAGTGGTTCTCAAAGCATGGTCCACAATCTGGTTCAAAATGCAAGTAACTGATGCACACTGCCACGGCCGAAGTCATATGAGAGAACAGAACAGGTGGGATAGGACCGGCAGGTGGTGCACAACGAAAAAGTTTGAAAACCACTGTTCTAAAGGAAAGAAAGAAACTTATCGCTGAAACAATAAATTTAATAAATTTAAATTCCAATCTCTTTTTCGCAGTGCATTTTGCTTAGGGGAAAAATGGAATGCTTACAATGCAAAAGTTTATTTTTCTACACCATTATACTTACGGGGGAAATGAGACAAGTCTTAATGATCGATATATTCAGATCACATTGTGTAAAACATCCATTTTGAAAAAGATCATCTGTATAATATTATTGACAGGTCTCGCCATCTGGTGACAGACTTTACGGAATAATAAAAATTCGTGTTTTTTTTGTTTTTTTTTTCAGATATGCATTTAAGTTAAACAAAAGTGAATTACAGTTATACCAATACTACCGCTGTACAAGCATTACGTTTGGAGTTATAAGCTAGAGTGCATAAAAAAAACACACCAAAACGAACTTATACGACACCCCCCCTCCCCACTGTAAATGGTAAGTATAGGAACACAAAA